GTTTTTTTTTTTTTGCTTTTCTCGAAAAGCATTTCCCCCCCTTTGCCCCCCATCCATTTCCCATGAATTTTCGCCATCCCCGGATCTCGAGATCCAGACCGATGCGCGGATTCGCGGATGTTCCAAGGTGTGGCTTCCACCAGGACAAGGCGGAGAGCCGGGAGGCCGAGTCCCAGGGCGCTGCTGAAGCTCAGAGGCCTCGGTGGCCGGCAGGCTTTTGATTTCCAGATTTTGCTTTTGATTCCCACTTTTTTTTTTTTTTTTTTTTCGTCGGAGGACCTGGAGGGCAGAGTGTTTGTGGGGTTCCCCTTTTTTGGGTTGGTACATCCTTTGTCAGTCGGATTCCACCAGGAGGTTGATCAGATTACTGGAAAAAAAGGGAAATGGAGGAAATTGTGCGGATTTTGGAGGATCCCCCTCGCAAGTCAGGTTGGTGGAAACCAGCGTTCCCTATAGTTTTAAACGTCACCTTTTGGGCCAATGTGCAAAGTGCGTTTCCTTTTGGTGGGGTTAAGAAGATAGGAGGCCCTGTTTAAACTCGCTTCAACCGGTTTCCAGACTTTCGTGGGATTTTCACCACCGTAGCGGTTACTCTAGCGCGGGATCGGGACGCGCACCCTGGTCGCTGTTTCCAGTCTGCATGCCAGGAAAATGGCCAGCTCTGCTTTTTGGTTAAAGCGGTACCCCAAGCCGACGGCCGGCGCCTGTCTGGGCAAAGACCCCATGGCTTTGAGCTGTTGGGGAAACAGACAGGCCCCAATATGTTTCTTCCGCGTCAACTCCTTCGATCTAAGCAAAAGGGCCACAGGACATTCTTTTGGAAGCCACTTTTGTTTTTGGCTTTGGCCAATGCAAACAATCCTTCAGAAAGAAACCTTGTCTCTTGTTTGGTGTTGGCCAATTTCTCGTAGACAGTGTACATCGCCTTGTTTTTGTTGGATTAGCAACTCCAATTGGACCGCGTCCTAATGCCAATTGTCTCATGGAGCGCCTGGAGGGGGATGGCTATGGCCATGGCCATGGCCTTGACCCTCGCCTGGTTCCCATGAGTTGAGGTTTCCCAGACCCCTTTGGAGGTGTCGTTTCCCTTTCGACTTCGGAGGTTTCGCCCGAGGCCACGAGACCTGCGAGGACTTTGTGGTGGACAAGGTGAAGCTGCCCATCAACGTGTGCCTTGGATGGGCGTGTCAATCTTTGGTCGGTTTTTTTGGGTTGTGAAGGAAAAACAAAGAGAACATCACTGGTTTTGGGGTACCCCTTTTCAAACAAGATCCCCCAGTAGTGCTTTTTACCCCCTTTTTTGGGGGAGGGTTCCCCAACTCACACAGACTACAGCAAAAAAACGGGTACCCTTTTTCTAACCTCTTTTAGTGGAGGACTTAGCAAAGACGCCCCCAGGTGTGCGGAAAGCTCAGGGAAGGGAGGGAAGCACCCGAACTCGGAGGGCCGCCTGTGGTTCAAGCGATATGGACTCTATGGACAGAATGCGTTTGTTGTTTGGTGGGAAGATGAGGTTTAGGTTGCTACTTTCTGTGAGTGGCCAAGCCTGTTTTCGCCTCCGCTTCGAGCGTGTCTTGGGCAGTTGGGGGGCTTGGTCATTTAAAGGGGTCAGGGGATAAGGGAGTGCAGTCTTACTCACAACAATAATCCCTTGACACTGCGCTCAAACAGTAATTCCAGGATGGTTTCCAGCACCCGAAACCACTCACTACTGGGTCGCTGGGGTTCCTGGGATACGCACTCATTATATAAAAGGGGTATATACCCCGTTTTTGTCTGGGGTTAGTGGTTTGGGGTAGTGGAAATTAGAGTCACGCTTGGATTGGAATGAACTACTTTGGTATCACAGGGCTCCATTTTCCATAAGTTGGATCTACGCCCTCCTACACCAATCCTCAGGGCTGGTTCAGCCGCCTCTCAGCCGCCTCTCAGCCGCCTCGCCGCAAGGCTGGGCGAGAGCGCCACCTGCGTCTTCTTCGGCGTCTTCGACGGCCATGGCGGGCCGTACTGCGCGGAGCACGTGGCGTGGTGCCTCAGGCGCCGGAGCCGCCCCGCCGGAAGGGGCCAGTAGCCTCCGGGCTGGGCTGAAACGAAAGCGGACTCGGCGTCAAGCAAAAGGTGCCGCACCGATATTTTTTTTGGGGAACAAAGTCACTCGGGTTTTAGCCGCTTGGGTTCGAACCGCCTTCGCAGTTTCGAGTTTCGACGCGAAGTCGACTGAGTCCACCCACCTGGGCAAGAACATCCTGGCGCGGCTGCGGGACCGCGCCAGGAACGTGAGTGATGAGGCGGGGTCTTCGGCATTTTGGCTTTGGCGCAACTCGACATCACGAACTGATTGTCAACTTCGGAGTCCCGACCGTACAATTTTTCCAGTCAATCCTCTTGGGCGGAAGCAATTGGTTCAATTTTGGTGGATTCGTGTCAGGAGTAACTCAGGCATTAAGGAGGGAGCCCCATCCATTCTCAGGGGGGGTTGGAGGTGCGGAGGCACTGATGTGTGGGGTGCAATGGTTTTTTAACTGCTATGGCTCAAATCGAATCATACGACAGGTGGTCTCTTGGCCAAACCTTCAGCATGGCATCGTGCTAAGCAGGATGAATTCAGCTCGCGGGGTGTCGTTTTTGGGTGATCCAACCCCTCCAATTTGGAAGTAAATATTCTTGGATTTGCCCCCTGAAGGCTTGGTTGTTTTGGGAGGAGAAACCTCAACCTCCTAATTTTTGGAGCCCATTATCCGCAAAGGTTTGGGCTTACCTTTCCAAGAACAAACATGAACCTGAATGAGGGTCGCTGTTAGAGGGCCAGGTCCCTTTCAGGTTCCATGGTGGGTATGTGTCAAACCTGCCCCCCCCTCCTCCCCCCGCCCCCCAAATTGGGGAACTGCTTTCCGTTTGATTTCCCTAGCTGACGACGGCACCCCCACGAGGACTTCTTGACCGAGCCTGACAGGTGGCGGTGAAGACGGCGCTGCTGGGGGGCTTCAAACAGACGGAGCACAACTACCTGCAGCACGCCAAGAAGCCGCTTGGTTCTCCGAAGTGAAGAACGGCTGGCCCCAAAGCCTGCACAGGCTCCTTGCAATGACTTTCCTTTATACAACTCTATGGCCATGGGTCAAAATCCCCTACCCCCAATGAACATCCCAATCTCCACTAGAATAGACTAGAATGGGTGGTGCACCTCCCCCAAAATGGGACCCACAGCCATATAGCCACAAAAAGTTGTTGGTACGCCTCCAGTTTTGGGGTGGGTTCCCTTTAACCAAGTTTCGAGGAACTCGCGACAGGGTCTGAGTTTTGAGTGCAAAGAACCCTAGAGGGGAGCGCTAATCCTATGGCTTTGCCAAATGGGTTTGTTTTTTTGAGGGTGCCTGTTTTGTGATGGTTTCAAAGAGCCACCAAAGAAAGGCCACCCTTTGGAGGGTTACAAACCCGGGTAGGACATGGCTCGGCCCCCAAAAGGGGTCGATAGGCCCAGATCGGCCGTGGCTCTGAAGTAGGGTTCCGAAGCGAAGGGTGCAAAGGACAAACTACAAACTACAAACTACAAACTACAAACTACAAGCGAAGGGTGCGAAGAGAATGTTATGTTGGTAGGACAAACTACAAACTTGTGTGCATTTGTTCTACAGGGCACCCCGTTTGGGTGTTGTTTTACTAGAAAGCTAAAAGGAAAACCGAAGCCATTGTGTTTTTATGTTCTTTCTTTTTCGGTTTTGTTTCCTTGCCGGGGGGGGGGGGGGCACATGATTTGTCCTTTGTTGAGTTCTACCCTTTTCAGGTTGGTTGAAAGGGAAACCAAACGGAGACAAAGAAAGCATTTTTGGGATCCGCACGCCTATTTTCAGACGAGAGCTCAAGTGAGCCCCGAGCCCAAGCGCAAAACGCGCTGAGGACGGACGACAGTTCCGGCAGCACTGCCGGGAGGCTCAGAAGCGGTTCGGCTTTTTGGGGAAAGTCGTTTGGGCTGCACGCTCCAAGGGCTTGGTACTCCAAATATCCTTTCTTCTTGCATGTTAAAAACAACAACAACATCTATCTTTTCTTTGGCATGTTTGGAAACAAACACTTGGTTTGCCATCTTTTTTGCGCCAGGGGTCGACATGGGGGGGGGGAGGTTTATTGTGGCAGTGAAGATGAATGAATGTTTGGCGGGCAGGCAGGCTTTTGTCTTTGGTCCCATCTAGGGGCCACTTTGGTACCACAAAAGGCCACAGCCGCATGAACCCGAACCCCTCTTTAGGGGCTGAACATTTGCACGGGCGTCGGACGGCTGGCCAGGCCCGGAGGTTCGGGGAAGTTCCGCGGGAGTTTTTTTGGTCTGACCGATGTTAGGGATACTGGAAGGTTGCGTATTTGGGAACAACCTTCTACCAAGGGGGTCCCTTGATCCAGAAAAACAAGGACCAAGCTTCTAAGGGCCTAAATGATTGAAAAGGGGTGGGCTACTTCAAATCCAGATTCAGTCATGGATACTGCCCCAAACTACTGGACGATTCTCATATTTTACAGGCTGGTTTGGGGGGCCAGGTCACCCCATGTACTACTATGTAGGCGTCTTGCCTATTCGTTCAATGGCCTTGAAGACTTATTCATAGACACTCTTGGTTATTTAACGTTTCAGATTGGAGTGAAGCAGTGGGTGTATCAAAAAAGATGAGACTCGCGGCTTTGCCTGAAACAAGACCGGGAAGGTTTGCAGGTGGGTTGGGAATCCATTTGGGGAAGTTTCACACACAGCCGCGGACGGACACGGCCGTGGAGATGGCTGCCGGGGGCTTGCATGACTGTCGCAGGACACGTCCCATCTCCGCGCGGTGCTCAGCATCCTTGCGGGCGCCAGCGTCTTCTACGCTGGCCACGTGGCGGAGGAAAACTAGCCCGCGCTTGCGTGAAGTGCAAGCCGGCGTCCAGGGAAGATTTCGCTGCTGCGGCGTTGGCCTGCACGCGGAGCGGGCTGCCAGAGCCGGCCCCGGAACGCGCCGCGCTGGATGATCCTCGATACCTGCTGAGCATATGGGTCCCACAATCCCCATGAAGCTTCCTTTCTTTTGTAGGGGGTTTTCTTGGGTATACTCAAAAGGTATGGGTTTGTCTTGAAATAGCCCCAAAGCATGGGTGGCTTCCATTTCCCTAAAAGCCAACCTCCCCAAGAAAACTTAGTACCCTCATAAAACAAGAGTGACACACACACACACATCCGTGTGTTTGGAGGGTTCTTGGATCTATTCGTCACTCGGCTCGGCCGTCTTTTTGGGGCGCCTCCGAGCCGAGGCTTGCACCATGACGGTCTTCGGGCCCGACGAGCAGATGCGGCTGCGCCTCTTCCTGGCGAACTGCCGGGGACTTTGAGGGCGAGCGAGTGACTCGGTCTCTACTGCTATTGGGTTGAATCTTTGGACTTTAACTTGTTGGATTCCCCTCATAAAACCCTTTTAACCAGCGAACAGTTAAACTTTTGCTGGGGGATCTACAGTACCCAAGCAGTCATGTGCATTCTCGTCCGGGGAGAGATGGCTGGTATGACGCTTCATATGGGAGTTCCTCAAAATGGCGGATCCCTTCTTTGGTTGTTCTTTAACGGAAAATCAGAAGGACACCAACCATTAAAGATCCGCATTAAAGAAGACACTCATATGATTATCCGGTGGTCCAACTTGTTATGCATGTTTGCTTGCTTATAAACAAGTGCTTCCCTTTCTGGGTGGGGAAACCTCTTCAAAATCAACCAAACTGTCGGGTGGAAGAACAGGAAACCCACCCAAACTAACCTTTTCCCCAAACCAAACCACGAAAGAACCATCAAACTGGCCAACCAACAACGTTGCGTTTTTTGCTCGAAATCGGAGGTCTGGGTTGAACGCAAACCAGGTAACCCGGGTATGGGTGCTATTTTGGAACCCTTGCTGGGTTCTCCTCCAAAAGTAGTGTGTGTTGTTGGGTGAACTAAGTATGAGCAGAATCTGAACATGTTCAGATTTGGGCCAATGTACCGTGGATGGACAAGTCCTGGACTAGTTGGGGTCAACCACCACTCCCAGCTGGTGCCTGACGTGGACTTTGCACCATCCACAGCAGCCCTCTTGAGGTGGTTGTCCCCAAGAGTAAATTCCATTGAACGCAGAGTTTTTAGGGGGTTCCTTCCATTGAATCTCCAGAAGTGTACTGACAGCGTGGTTGTTTCTGTGTTTTCGCGCGAACTTTCTGTAAAATCTGAGTGCAAGGACGCCGATGTTTTGCTCCAGTGGCTCTGAAGTTTAATGTGGAACCTCCTGAAAAGTGGTCGGTGGGTATCAATTCCCACCTAAACAATGTCCATCACTCTGCGGAGCTTGCTCCGGAGGATTCCTCTCTCTCCAAGCCTTGCCCCGACTACTCAACCACTATCAAGCCACCATCGGGTTTGTCTCAAAATAGGGGACCCCAAGAAAGCTTGGCTTGCTTTCGGTTTCCATTTAAACCAACCCCCAAAGTGGGTACCAACTCCAAAAATCGCATGGCCCATTGTGCGCAGAGGCCAGCTCTTGTTTTGGGGGTGGAAAGCAACGCAGAGTTTGGATGAAGGCGATCGGGTGCCCTTTTTGGAGATTCCTGTCAAGGAGAACCTCCCTGCAAGGAGCGCAAAAAAGCATGTTTCAGGCAGTCAGGAGGCTTTTTTTGACAGTTGGCTCGACCTTTGATAAACGTGGCTTTGGTACATTCTGGTTTCCCTTACTATTCATTGACAGACTCAGCTTACCTTTAAACGTTCCACCTTTTGGTTTTCCTTCATTTCCCCTTTCAACTAGCAAAAGTTGTCGCTTCTGTCCTATGCGTTTCTTATCAAATTTTGGCGGGAAATGGTTGCGACTTCTGAATCTGGACAAATTACAAGAAGCCCAGCTGGGGGAACAAGGTCCTTGGCGTTCTCCATGTAGTTGTGACTTTGATTCATCTGGAGGAGCGTACAAATCAGAGGAACTCTCCGAAAATGATTTGTTTTCCCACAAAGGCAGCCACGCCATTTTTTGCACAGTCCTCTGGTTTGTATCAAAAGTCACATTCTTTTGAGGCACCGAACTCGCTCTTTTTGCTTGTGCTCTTTGAGAAATGGTTTGACCTTTCCGAGAACAATGGCTAATAATGGGAGAGCAATAAGAGCAGCATGTCAACCCTTCAAAGGAAGCACAACATCCTTCAAAAGACACTCAGACCTCCCACCCAGCAATCCAATCTCCCCCTCCCCTGCCCCCCCCCAACAAAAAAATAAGACAAGCAAAAACAAGGGTTGACTTGGGCAACCGCTCACTGGATGCCTTCGGCTTGCGGTCTCGCAGACTCGCAGGCGGCGACTCCCGGGCAGTGCTCTGTCCGGCGCCCGGGATGAGGTTTGCCCTCGAAAGGCGGGCGGTCCTTTTGGGTTCCTTGAAGGTCAAAGGTCCCAGAAACGTAGAGCACCCCCAAACCCTAGAATCCGGCCAGCGAGTAGTGTGCTGGAACGACCATTCAGTCCAATGGAGGTTCGGCCTGACGTTTCGCGCATCGGCATCGATGCGTCAGTTCTCCTCGACTTACCGTGACCAAAATCGGGCATGGAATTGGTTAGGCCACACGCGGCTACCCACTTAGCCTTTGAGTTCGCCACAGAGATGCGCAAGGGTGGGACGCTTTTTCTGTTCAGCAAGCTTGGGATTCGTAATCGAGATGTAGTCCGCAGGGCACTCCCTCCCTTGGCACCGCCTTTCATTGCGGAGGCATACATAGCGTTTGTGCTTTGCGGGAGTCATCCTGGTTCGAAGCGTCACTCAGTTGTTAGCTGGTAGGTTTTTCCCAGTATTCATGGGTTTTTGTGCATCCCAACTGGTGCGAAGTGGACGTTGCCTTAGGCAGCACTAAACCCTTGCCAACCAAGACCAAACCCAACATTCCCAGTTACTCAGTTTGTGCAGGTTGATATGGAATGGTTCTAGGATTTCTTCCGTGCAAAGTGACCGAAGGAACACAAAAAGGGGGGCCTAAAATGATTCCCAGCCCGCTCCACATCCCTCCAAACAATTGAAATTGTAGGACACGGCTGGCTGATGGCACCCAAACCTGCACGTTTGGCGGGACATATGCCCATTTTCCCACTCACCTGACAAACATAGGTTCCAAAGGCCGCGATGTTTCTTGATTTTTGTTCTGGGTCCCAAAACAGGGATGTTCAAAGGCAATCCAATCCTTACCTTAGGTGAGGGAAGGATTTGGTCCCCTTTGTAGTGGTTTCCCTACAGGAATTAAGGAAAATCGGATTGGCTATTTTGAATCGCCCAGTGAGGGCCATGATGTAGGACTACTCGGTCTTGCCTGACACCCCCCAAATGGGAACCTCCAGACATTCGGGGGTGTCTTCTTTTGATGTCGGTTTCAAAGGGAGACCACATGAAAAGCCACGACCTGCAAATTCCGCGAATTTGACCCACCCATTTGTCAGTTTTGCCAATCCAGGTAGCAGCGGCACAGCGTTGCGCTTGACAGAGGTGTGAGGGAGGGCGGGGAAGGGCAGGGAGGGGAAGGGCAGGGAGGGGAAGGGCAGGGAGGGTGTAAGCTTCTCTTGACTGGGGGAACTCGTGTGGCGGTTTCAATTTGGCTTCCCGTAGCCAGCCACAGAAACAAAATAAAAAACCCTCCACAAAAATGACACCATGTCACTTGGTCATTTGACATCTAGCTGGGGCTGGCAGGGGTGGCCATTAACCATTTGGGACCGTCATTGCTGGGAGCCATGACCATGGCTCACGAAGTTTTTGGCCGTGGCCATGTGCACTTACAGTGGGTGAGGAAGAATCCACTCGCGAAAGTTCCCTTGAAGAATGGGGGGAGGGAATAAATGTAGACTCACAAACCCTTTGCTAGTTGGTAACACCTGCTGAATATTGCCTGTTGCTCAAAGGGCTGGACAGTCGAGATCAGGTGCTTTGGCTTGCGGCTTTCGGCTTGGGTTCATATTATCCTTTTGACACCAACATTTAGGGGTGTCTTTTTTGATGGTACCCGTTTCGGGGTGTGGTTTGAAAGGGAAATGAGAAGGAAGATTTAAGACTCCCCACTTTGATGGAAGGTTGTTGCGTTTGAAACAAATTCGCACCCCGGTCAGCATGTCCAGAATCCTTTGGGGACATAGAAGAAACTCACTAAGGGGGCCCCACGAAAACCAGGGCACCAGACCGATCTCAGACCGATTTCCAGTTTGGGTTTGAACAGCTTTTTCCGCGGGTAGGCCCCTTAAAACCAACGAAACCAGAGTTGCTGGATCGGCTACCCCCCACCAAAATAACATGGAAGTGCAAAGACCCCTGCCGAAAGACTTGTTTCCTCTTGGAAAGGGGCTTTGTGCGCTTCCATGTTAGTTGGTGGGAGGCCCTTCCTCCCGCTAACGTGGCACCTGCGGGAGGGTACCTGGAAGATCAGTTTCCTCTTGCAGGGACCTCCCCACAAGTGCCATGTTAGTTGGTGGGAGGGTCATGTTTCCGCAGTTGCCAGGACCACAAGCCGAATCTCCCGGCCGAGAAGAAGCGCATCGAGGCCCTCGATTCCGGCGGTTTTCTCTCAACTGTACGGTTGGCGCTTGGGATTCGAATTTTCAGGCTTTGTTTGACGTTTGGCAGATTTTGGACAAACAGGTGTTCCGGTTTTCCATGGTAAATGCATTTGAAGTCTTGGCTTGCATCATACCCCAGCAACAAGTGGATATGGGGATGTTTGCGGAATTTCCGGTATTTCACAGGCCCTTTGTGTCGAGCTTCCCTACATTTTTTTTCTCGCGGGTCCAAACCAGATGTCCATGCTTTAGGCATCACCATTTGGGGGCAAGGTTGATTGAGTATCTCCTTGGGGATGTTTCAAGAAAACATATGCGTAACCCGTACGGGTTCTCACCTCAGTCGCTCACGGATGGTTTTGAAAGGAACCAGAAGTGAACGAGCACACCCCACCCTTCGGAGACTCCCGAAAAGACATTTCAAGGGGGCAACACCACCACTTGGAGGGGTCAGATCAAAAGAAGGACCCCCAACACCAATCTGAGATCTCATGGTGGGAATATGTTTTGTACCAGTTGGCAAAGATAGTCAGATCGTAATGGTTGCAACTCCGATAAAATGAGCCCTTTCATGGTGGATGCCCCAAATATTGCAAGTGAGAAACAAGGGAAGCAAGGAAAACATGGTTGCATGGGCGCATGGACGATGGTTTACCCATGAATTGGGGCGCCCCGGCTTACTTGCAATAAGAGGTCGGAGTTTCTCGAAGAGTGGTGGATCCCCGCAACGGCGTTGAACTCGAAGACCGAAACGAAGCCAAGCGTTGAGAGAAGGCGATTCCTTTGAGCACAACCCCCATGGGCATCCATCAGCACTCAGCGGGCAACGGGCAGCTGGACTCCTAGGCTGCGGATGGGGGTGTGGTGGAGGTGCAGGGCGTGTGGCGTGCAGTGCTGCCCCAGAAGAAGCGCGTGGCAGCCCAGAGTCTTTTGGAGGCGAAGCGTGCCCTGTTTGGGGTGGGTTTCAGGGGAAACCCGAAAAAGGACGACCGCTTTGGGGGTCCCCATATGTTTGGGCAAGGCATACCTATGGAGTCGGTACCCATGGTGTGCTTGTTGAGTCTTAGAGATGTTTCGGGTTTTTGCACGGGCTCCCTTTCCCCCGGTTTCCGGGAAGCAAATTCCAATGCTGGCCCGCCAGCAAGAGGCGGGGCCCCAGGCAACCCGCAAGCCCACGAAGTAGGGGGGCATCCTTTGGAAAAGGAGACGTCCAACTATGGAAGTGGGTCTTACGTTTGTTGGGCAATCGTTTGGATGTCCTATGGAATTGTTGGATGTGGGTCTTACTTTCTGTCCAACAGCTGAAAGCTATGAGGTCGATAGGCCCAGATAGGTTCGGGTTCCGGAAGGGTTCCAAGCGTTCCGGGGCGGTTGGGTGTGCCACTTCGGCCAATTTTTGTGGGGACAGGCTTTTGGGGGGGTGTTTTTGGAAAGAACACCACCTTTACTTTGGTTCCATATTCTATCTGGACACATACCCATTGCAAGGGTTTTGGGGGTGTCACAAACCCCCTTTTTGGCAAGCTTAAAAGCATCATTTGTTTGGGCCAGGTGTATGGTGATAATTCTTAAAGGGGACATATGGGTGTGGGTTTTGCGAGGGTACACTTTTCTAGATTTGTTTGCAGGGAAAGCCAAAAGACCGTTTTGTTGTAGAGGGAAACTCAACAGACACCTGCCTAGTGTGTAGGTTCGATACTCCATTTGGAGCCACACCGTATTGTCAAAACCAAGGCAGAGATGTGGTCGAACCATTCATTGATGTGCTTTCCAGCCACGGCCACCATACAATACACCGTGCCATATTTGCCAGATCTGCCAGCTCTTGATCAGCTCGGTTGACTCGGTATGTTTGTTGCGAGTTTGTGGGTTTTCCCGCTCCAAACGAAGAAGGCGCTCGCTCGCACTGCCGCGATGCCCCCCCCCCAACCCGCCCCCCGCCCGCCGCCCGCAGCCCCACCCCTCGCCGGCGACCGGCCCGGAGGCCTCCTGAGCAAGATCGCGGGCCTGGCGGTGTCCCGAAGCTTCGGGGACAAGGACTTCAAAGGCAGCGCGAGCGGCGCTTCGACGGTGCGGTGCGGTGCGGTGCTTCGCCATCTGAGCGATCGGTGGCCCAGTGGAAGTTGCTCTTCCCTTTTAGCCTTTTTTTGTTTTGGAAGGGTTCCGATTCTTCTGGAACTCAAGCAACAAACAACGGGTGCCATGTTTTTCTCCCATGGCCACTGGGCATCCGAGTTACGGACCTCTGATAGGGTGCAAGCTTTGCGAGTTCCAGCCAACCAGGGCATGGCTTGGGCATTTGGCTCGAGGGTTGGGGGCAAATACCGAAAGCAGATCAAGCAGATCTTGCAGAGTTTCATGAGAGCCGGCCTTGTCCAGATGCATCCAAACCAAAATGGGAACCCCGGATTTGAAGAAACCCCAGGTTGATTAATTCGGAGGTGTCCCGTCTTAGGGGGATCCTTCGCTTTTTGGAAGCACTCCCTGTTTCTCCACCAGGTTGATCTATCCGGGGTCAACGTTCTCATTGGCTAATGTTGTTTGCATCTATCGGAACGCCTGAAACCTAGATGGGGTCCCATGTTAGCGAGGGGCTCCACCATGAGAGCTACGTAGGTGGCGATGTAAGTGGGTGTGTGTCTTATTAGGATACCCTCTAAGTAGCCTCTTTGACGTTGGTTTCAAGAGAAAGCACAAGGAGGACACTGATTTGGGGCATATTGGACACACCCAAGCAGGCTTCCATCTTTTGACTCTTCAAGCTAGACTTGAACCCAGAGATTCTCCTTTTGAAGAAGTTGACCGCCCCTGGGTTTAAGGCTACCATAGAGCAACCAACAGATGGAATCCTGTACCCAAGTGTTGCCATTGGGACAGCCGCCAGGTCCGGACATTGTCAGTGCAGAGCCAGAGATCACCGTGCACGAGGCGGTGATTCTTCTGGAGCTGACACAGATGTTACCCATGTTGACCCAGGAGTTCACCTGGGTTTAAAGGGAAACCAAAAGAAGAGCCACCATTTCTTGGGCCCCTGAGTTTGACACACGCCCACTTTGATTAATCATGAATCCCTGGTTGACTTTGATTGGGAGGGTGTCCCAAGTTGGAAGGAAAGCTTCACTAGTGTCGGAAGCACCCGTTACCTGAGGTTTGGTCTAAGTCTCCTGATTGATCCATGGGCAATTGGAGAAGGACACACGAGCTCCACATTTTCCTGCCAGTTCCAATGGGATCGCGAGTTCTGACTTTGGCACACAACGAGCAACATCACCTGCCATGGCCAACAGATCAAATGGCACCAGACAGAAGGCGTCCAAGAACAACCCCACAAGCTCGCGCGTTGTCGTACGTGCTTCATTCACCAGCGTTTTGGGACGAAGAAAACAACAGTCCATATTTCGCACGGGCAACCCGCGTGGAACCTATGTTGGGTTTCCATAGCGGCAAGCGAATGACAGGTGGACTGGAATGAGGATGAGCGCCCTGGCGGAAACAGGGGATGCAGCCGGCATTTGGTTGTGAATCTCAAGAGCTGGAACCCCCGAAAAGTGTTTGATGGACATAGATTCCCACCAAAGGGTCTCCAATGAAAAATCATACCCATTTCTAGAGAGGACTCCTTCAGGAATGCTTTGGGCGCTTTGGTTTTGTATTCTTCGACGGAGCGGGGCCCTTGTTTCTCCTTTTTGTGTAGTTTAGACTTGGCCTGAAAGGCAGGGTGATGTTGCGTATTTCAGAACCCGGGACAGGGGTCCGAATCGCGACGCAGAGATCCAAATGGGTCGGAGGTTTGTCATCCTGGCCACCGACGGCATTTGGGACGTGCTCAGCGACAAAGATTCGGCCCGGGCACCCAGAGCTATGGGCAATCCTGGGACCTTTTTCCTCCTTGAATATCACCTCACAAAGCAAAACTGCGAAGGGTTCTAGGTGCTTCGGCGAAGCGAGGCTGCCGTTCTGGAGCCGCGGTGGCACGTTCCAAGTGGCTTTGCGGACTTGGTTTGGTGCGGCGTCCGGAGATGGGGCTCCTTTACCTCCTTGCATCCCCGGTACCGCGCAACACTGGCGGGCTTCCGCAGGGCAAGCTAAGGCGCAACAGTTCGTATCACTTTGGATGCCACAATATCACTTTGGATGCAAGCTGGATTAAACAGTAGAAGCCGCCGAAGAGCGTGCTGACGGAAGGATGCTTGCAACTCTTGCGCTGAAGTCCCACGGCCACAGGTAATTCAGCTGTATGTTTCCGCGAGGCAAGGCTGGTGTTGTATTTTTGCAAGTGCGTAGCCGTTGGACCCCACGACCCTACCTTGCCCAGCTTTCAGGGAAGTTCTTCGAAGGGTTCTGCAACGTGCTTCGGCGAAGCGCCGCGGTGGCATCTGCTAAGGGTTCTGCAAACTTGGTTTGGTAGGGAGTCCAGAGATGGTGGCCTTAATTATTTTTGTTCCCAACCTGCAACTCGCAAATCCGGACAGGGTGGCTCAAAAGGCGGGGTGCAAAATGGCGAACGCCCAGACACATTCGGATGCCTTAGCATTGGTTCCCAGCCCTCCCTTTAGGTTCTTGTAGCTTCTTAGTTGGTTTAGCAGTCGGGTTTCCCCATTTCCCCCAACACTTCGTCCAACTTTCCTCGCAGCAAGCGCCCTTTGGGCCTTCGCGCCTTCGGCCATCGCCGGGGATCCCCGGGGAACTCCGGTGGCCCAGCGGCCCAGCGGCCCGCCGCATCCCGCATCCAGGTGGCCTTGGTGCGCCAGCACTTGCAGCAGGGCACCGAGGAGAAGGCCGCTGAGGCTCCGGAGCGGGGGGGAAAGAATCGGGAAGAGGAGGCGTGGCTGCCTTCGTGCTTTTTTTGTCTTTCTCCTTTTGTTGTTTTGTTTTGGTGGTCTTTAGTTTTTTTTTGGTTGTTCTCTCCTTTTTCTGGCTGTTTTTTGGTTTTTGTCTTTTGCAAGGGATGACCTGACTTTTTTTTTGGAGGGTGCACTCTTCTTATCTCCCCTTTAAGGGGTAGTTTCGAAGGAAATGCAAAAGGAGAGCAGTGTTTTGTGGACTATTTTGGGATGTCCCGACATTGACTGGGGTCTAACTAGTGCCCTTTTGACCGGGTGATGTTTAAAGGAGACATGGAATGAACTGGACAGGGATGCGGGGGTGTCTATTTTTTGAACGGGTTAGGCTTCTTCAACTCTTTTCTGGAGGTGTCCCTTTAACAGACTGGCAAAAAGCGAAACATAGCAATCCGTGTTTGCTTCCGTTTCCTGTTTTTTTCTCTTGGGGGAGGGGGGCGTATTTTGAGGCAAACCCGGAAACGGCTCGTTTGGTTCATTCTTTCCAGGGATCCTTCTTTCCAGAAAACCACACGAAAAAAGCATGGGGGACACGGATCCGGTTTTCGAAAAGAACCATGGCTGAAAGGAATGGGTTGCAATCAACCCCTAGAAATGGCTGTTGTTTTTTGGGCCACCATTCCTGGAATTGTGGCCCTTTGGTCCAGCAGGCCTTCGGTGGGTCGCATTCTTCCCCCCAGAGGGGGTTTCCCTATAAAACCAACCGAAGGCAAGAGTGCCGGTTCTTTTCTCCCCATGGCCGGGGATCTAAGACCTTACCTTTCCTGGGGTCTCCAACACTGCTTTAGATCTCAGGGACGACTAAATATGAAACAGAGTCAGAACATCTTATGTGTAGAGTACTTCTTGTTTCTGGGGCCCCCTTTGGTTTACTTCCATTTGCTTAAGAACATCTTAAGCATTTTCCTCTTGGGTTCGAAGAGAATCTATCACATAATTTTCTCCGGGGGACTCCAAGCAAATGTGTTGGTTTTGAAGAGAATCCATCACATAATTTTTCCAAAGGACTTCAGCAAATGGAGGTCCGGATTGTTACCCCTTCGGCCGAGATCGGGGGTTCCCCGAGGCGCTGGTGAAGCGCGCCCGGGACAAGGGCAGCCACGACGATTGCACAGCGCTGGCTCGGAGCCTCAGTGCGGAGAACCCGAAACTCCATTTGCTTAAGAATGTGTTCCGGGATAATTTCGGCAAGCCTTGTCCTTTCCCTTGTTGTAGTCGCTCGTCACGGTTGAAGTGTTTTTCGGGGAAAGTGTGTCATCATTGTTTGCTTCCCCTTGTTGGTCTTACAGGGAATTTATCACTACTGGACATATTCTTATCTTTTCCAGGGGGTTTAATCAATTGGAAGCAAAACTCCAGGTGAGTTGAACCCGATGCTTTGGTAGGTGCCGCGTGAGGTTCTCTGAACATGGCAAATGGGGTCTTGGGACCGAATCGCCCCAAACGCACCTTCCCAGTGGGCCCAAAAACAAAGCAAAGGGAAGCCCAAAGAGAACGAGTCAAATCCACACTCAAACGGGTCCTCCTGACGTAACAATCAGGTAGCACATGGCCTGCCGCAACAAGAACCCATGTGCGCCAACTGACCCATTGCTGGGTATGCAAACAGAGGGGGGTGTCAGTTTTGTGGGGACCCCCCTTAATTCCTTTAAAACCACAAACACAAAGACCCCCATTGTCCCGCGCTATGTCCAGCAAATCCCAGTTACCTACCAAAGCAGGCACGGGTTCCTGGAAAACAAGTTTATTTTTAAAGAGACCCTCTGGTGAGTTTCATGTTAGTGGACAGGAGGGTAAATGTGCTATGTTGGAGCCTCTAAGTCTGTAAATCGCTGAGGTCGTACGCTTCGCCTGGGCGAAGTCTGGTCAGGCCAAGCGGGAAGGGGCGTCCGATTTGTTGGAGGTGGTAGGTTGGTTTGCAGAAGGAAGCCAGCCATGTGCGGATTCCAAAAGAAATGAGAGACACACACACACACACATTTGTCAAAAGGATAGATGTCTGATTTTGAATGGGAATATCCTCCCAAATGGGTGTTGGACATGAATCGCCACCAAAATCATGTCAGCCGAAATCATGTGCACCATAGGGACCCAGACAAACAACAATCAAACCCCTGTGAGCCAGTCACACCGTTACCCTACCATCTGATTTGGAAGTCTCCTTGCGCTGCAGAAGTGTTTGGGGAGATCTATGATCAATTTGTGAGCGATATGGGAGGAAGCCCCAAATGTCGAGGCCAGCAGCCTGGGGCGAAACCGAACATTTTCCCATGACCGTTTTCCCATGACCGTGGCTCACAATGGGGGTGCCCCAAGAATGGGTGGGGTGGATCGGGTTGCCCCCTTCAGCAAGCCCTCACAAAGGGTTCAACAAGACACCTTCAACAAAGAGGACCCCCAACCCTCCCCCCCCCAAACACACCTTCATTAACAACAAAATATATATTCAGCCTCGTATGTTTGGGGCGTGTTTGGGGGTGCCCCGGAGGGTGTGTCTTTGTGTGTGCGTGTGTGTGTGTGTGTGTGTGTGTGTGTGTGTGTGTGTGTGTGAGACAGAAGCATCGCTTGGGGGAACTCTGGTTTCTCTGAACCCAGAAGCACTGGCCCGAGAAGTAGTGGCAATCTCCGTGTGAGTGTAATTTTCGATATGTTCATTTTGCTTGTTCCCGTTTTTCCAAGGAGTTTGGGGTCTCCAAACTAAGAACATGTCGTATTTTGTAAGGTAAACTAACCACAACGCAGATTTCGAACATCCTTTGTTTGGCGTACCCTGAAAATGGGACAATTTGCATGTCCAACAACCTGCGATGCTTGTTTCTTCAAAGAGGCAGCGCAGCCTTCCGGCGAGGCCGAGGCGAACGGCATATGTTGCGAGGTCGCGATTTGTTTGAGTTGGTACCTGGAGTCTCCATGAGCCTCATGAGCAAGCTTGGTTTGAAGAGAAAGCCGCAAGTCCATTTTGAGGGTTTGCTATTTTGACACCGCAATATGTTTGGACAAAGTCGCGCATTGTAAGTTGGTGACGACCCATTGGGCGGGAAGAAACAGCCGGATTCACTTTTACGGATGCAGCGCGGGGCAAGAATGAATCCTGAAAGGAAGCCAAAAGACCACAAAGGGTTAAAGTAGTTTCGTGGTTTGAGCATTCTGGGCGGTCCCCCCCCACTGTTTTCAACCATCGTTCTTTTCTCTGAAGCAGTTTGAAGCGATGTGAAAAAGCAGGCGGTCCGTCCAGTCCGGTGGTGACCTGCTGGCTTTTCTTTTCAAGGACAGTGGTGTACCTTTCGGGAAAAGTCACAAACATATCGGTTTCTTCCTGGTTTTTGTTCGGATAGTTTTGGATGGTTGCGTTTTGGAAGTATGGACTGGCGAAAGGAGGGGTCAATTTGATAGCATGGCATCATTTGCGGGCTCCAACCACCAACACAACCAACAACACCGACCCTTGGAGGGGTCATTCCACTCGGCCCATTTAGCATTGGTTGGAATGTTACCAACACCTTGCCGGACGCACAGTTTCCACATTTCGGTGTGGGGTCGCGGGGGCCTGTCCTGCGGGTTCTTTTTGGAGAGGTTTCTCTTCCGCATACAGCAAAAAGCGAGCGCCCTCTATTTTCCTGTGGAGCTCCACGGCGTTGAGCGTGGATGGTTTGAGGCATGGAGGGGGCCCTTCCATGATACATTCGTGAGGTGTTCGAGGCCGAAAAAGATGGCCCCAGAGGGAAAAAGGCCCGAGCGTTCCAGTTCCCCACGCAGCCGGACCTACCTATTGGTTGGATCGCCGCTTTCCTTGCCCCGGTCGTTGAGCGCCCACCCACGTTCTGTTTCGCAGCAGCGAATGAGTGAATGACCCATCTAAAACCATCCTTGGTGGTTTGCGTCAAGGGGCCCATTGACATGTTTGCCCCTCCCGACGTGGCCAGTGGTTGTTTTGGGGTGGGTGCGTTGGGCCTGGGGCAGAGAGAGAGAGAGGGAGAGAGGTGAGAGAAACAGAGACGCAGCATTCCCAGCATCGCATCATTTGGACCTTGGGGAGTCCGCACACGTAATATGCAGCATCACTTTGTCCAAGTGGTGGGCTGCTTTGCGGGCTTGCGACGGAGTGCCAAACGTGTGCAAATGATGCTGGTGCTCGCGGTGTTGCCCCGAGTCAAAGCCAGAAGAGCATCTGAAACCAGGCTGTGTCAACCTTTGCGACCGTGTTGGTTTTCAGTGGTTGATGGTTCTCAATTTTGGGAAATCTATTTTCTGAAAAGGAGGGATGTCGGGATTGAGGATTACTGTTACTCAACTATATAGGTCTTCTTTTAGCAAGCCAAAGGGTTGATGGGTTTATTTTCCGTCAAGGCAAGCCAAATGTCCAGGCGAGGCAGGCCAAGATCCAGGAACCCCACGTGGTGATCACCTTTTGGAGGGCCCAGCCCTTTGGGAACGCATTTTGGTACATCAGGTTTGCCAGTGAAGCCAAATTTACTGTTTTTGGCAGGCATGCGAGATGGAGGCGTGGAGGGCAGAGTCTGAAAATTGATTCAGGAGTCCCTGCAAAACTTCAGGCAAGTCAAGAATCGCTCGACTTCTAGGGTTTCCCTCAATTTGGCCTTTGCTTAGGGGCTTGGGCTTTGGGGACAAACATGTTGATCCCCTGAATTTCCGGACTTTGATTCGAGGGTCCTTTTAACATCTGGAAATCAAGTCAAGGCTTCTTGCATGCTGCTCTCATCTCTCGATTTCCTTGCGGTTTGAACTTCGTGGTGGGCCGTCCCATTTTTCAAGGCTACATTTCCAGGTTTCTAGGCACAACCCAATGGGGCACAGTTTAATCTGCTTGGAAATTACTGCTGGAACCTCCAGGGTGGCACAGTTCGTTTTGGCCAGTGGAAAGAGTTATGTTTCCTTCTGGTAGGAAGTTTATATGGAACCTGTTGTTGATAATTTGTTTTGAAAGAAACCAGCAACCAGACCTGTTTTCGATTTGCGTGTGGCTCAGGGCAAGAGAAGTCCTTCTTGGGAGGAGTTTCGATTGCGAATGAACCACGACACCAATCAACAACAGGGGGGACTCATTTCTTATCTTACATCTTTACCCTTTACTAACATGACGATGGTAGACACTATTTGGTTGAACATCAAGCGACAGTCGCGACTTGTGACTTTGAAGTCGATGTCCGAGTGGCCTCGCAGCGTGAGAGCAAATTCGGCAGGGCGTTCCAGGGGGGCTGTTGGGTTGTTGCGGTCAGAGTGGGCCCTGACGCCTTCTGGCTCAGCGTTTCCCGCTCCCGGCTTCGAAACCGCCGGCATGGCGGCGGCGCGCGCGCGCGGCGCAGTGGTGGGGTGCCTGGTGGCGGACAGCGCGGCGGTACCGACGCACTGGTGCCACTGCCAAACTAGACTACCCTCCCTCCAGCAGTCATGGAAGCTGCTGTTGGGGAAGCCCCTTATCCACTTCGGTGATGGAAAGCGGGCAACCCTTTTGCCTTTCTCCTTTTGCCCCGAAAGGGGTTTCCTTCATATCCCCCTTTAACTAGAAAAGAGTTGCCACATTTTGAAGGGGGTTCGGGGGTTGGAGGGAGCAACCCAGTGGAAGATTGGTTTCCTTTTGATGTCCCTTCCGCCGGGGCCCATTTGCTACCTTTCCCATCGGCTCAAATGGGTCGAATGGGAGCGGATGGATCCGACTCCGAAGGTGCTACGACACCGGCAAGCTCGCCGAGCACCTGTCGAAGGCCGGAAGGGACCTTTTTTTTTTGGGGGGGGGTTCTTTTCTTTTTTGTTCTTTGATTTCTTCATGGGTGTTTCGATACCCAAGGAACCCACACACACACACACACACACGCCCACCCGACTGGGCACCTTTGGCCTCGCAATGTAAGCAAAAGGAACACCGAGCCCATGAAAAGGGGAGCTGCAACATGTGAGTGTGGTCGCAAAAGGCTCTTGCGCTCAAGAACTTTGGATGACATCGGGTCGAAGGAAATGGAGGTTGCTCACCAAAGTGCACGATACATATGTGGACTGTGGCGCATACGATTCTGTCGGACTATCATCGCTTGTGTTGCGAGGGTATCTTCCATGGATCTCGGGCAGGTTTCTCAAAGACGCATGCGTGTTTTTGTTTGGCCAGCTGAGGTTCTCCAGATTCCAAGGCTGAGCAGGTGTCATGGGTTTTGGAGGAGGTACCATTTCCCTACAAAGCGAAACGCTTTGAACGGCACTTTCAGTTCCACCAGCCAATGCATACTGTTGCCCTTGGCAATGGAGCACACTCTTTGGCCAATTTGTGGGGTTTTGAGTCCTGTGGATTGCCATGGGTCCAAATATGTTCCTTCTTTTTGCGGGGAAACGCTCACTGGATGTGTTCTGACTTGCGGCAAAGAGGCCACCGGTTTATCAGACCCAGAGAAAGATTTGTTTTTGGGTTTTGAGGCAACCGTGTCCCTGGCAAAAACAAAAACTTCCATGCAAGTTGACCCATTGACCCATCCGTTCTTTTCATGGAGGCTGGAATCCCAGCATGCCTCCCGCCATGATTTTCATGCGGACTAGGTCTCCCCCCCTTCCCGAGAAAATTGAAGACTGGGATCGTACTTCAGGCCATTTCTTCCTGGATTTAGACAGTTATGGAGTAGGGGAAACTTGTAGACAATGGTGGTGAAGAACACTAACCCCCTTTTCATGCTGGTTGAACCCCAGGGTCATGGCCCAAATCAAACTCTCACGGCGTATTCTTGTAGTAACCAAAGCATGTTGGATTCCCAGCCCTTCATATACTCCACCTATAATCCCAGGGTTACAGTATCCTCCCTACTTTATGGTTGTCTAGGTCAACGTTTGGTTTCTTCTTAAGTTGTTTGCCCCACTAAAATGATGGGCTAAAGTGTTAACCGCAGGTGGTCGCTTGTCTTGACTCTTTGTAAGTGTCCACTTGGGCCACCATTTTGGCTCAAGTGGGCACTTCCCTTCTGTCTTGGAATCTGAAACTTCTCATTCCCCTCCTATCAAAGCCATGTACGCCCCCGCCTATGCTGGTGCCGCGGTTGCAGAGGCTAAGGCGAAGGCAAAGGCATCCATGGCGAAGTACCTGGCAAGCCTTGTGAAAAAGGAGGAAGAAGGTTGGACCGTCCTGGCGGCTGAGGTCCCTCAGGCACCGGACGAACGGTTCTTCTCCAGCGCCGACGAGCTGGAGCAAGCCCCACTCATCCCAGCCAAGCGTAAGGCCGAGGACGAGCTGATGGCGGACTCCCCCCCTGGGGTGGCGCAGGTGCCGAAGGCCCTGACACGCCCCCCAGGGGCGTTCCTGGAGCTTCTCGACCCTCCAGAGCCGGATGTTCCCATGGAGGAACTCCTGGCGGAAGACGAGGAGGAGCCCCCGATGGAGGAACCCCTGGCGGAAGATGAGGTGGACCCCCCGATGTCCGACACCAAGTGGCAGGGACGCCAGGACCTGATGGAAAAGGCCAGGGCGCAGGCGTCCTCGGAGGGGGATGAGGACCCCGCAGCCCCCCCGCCAGGGGGAAGCGTCTTCACCAAGGCCCTCAAAGTCTCTGAGGGCCTTTACCAATTCAGTGCGGACCAGATGGCGGGCGACTTCCCGTGTTTTGATGCGACCACGGCCACCAGGCTCCGCCGACTGCAGGCCAAGGATGTCCAGCGGCTCCTGAGAGGCTTTGAGGGCCCCCAACTCAAGCAGGGGGGCCTGGAGCGCGTGGTGGAGGCGTTCTACATCGCCAAGATGAAGTATGAGCATGAGGCCCTGCTCAGCACCCCGGGACAGAAGGTTGGCAAGCGCGCTGGCCTGGGGTATGGGGGCCTGGAGAACCGCCCCCTGGGTAAGGAGCCCACATCCTGGATCTGCCCCTGCTGCACCATGCCCTGGGTGAAGAAGGGCGCCAGGAAGTGTATGGGGTGCGGCAAAAAGACGGAGCCCATCGACACGGCGTCCAACTTGGCCACCCTGGAAATGGCGGGCACGCACTGGCAGCTGACAGTGGATGACCAGGGCAATGCGGTCTGGACGGCGGCCCGGTCCGCAGGTGCCGATGGCCCTGATACGGACCGGGCCCGCGACCTCAAGCTCAGCGCCTCGGTGGATGTCAGCGAGCTGGCCACCGACCCGATGGCATGCGAGAACCTGGACCAGGCCAGCTTCTCGGATTTTGTCCCCTCCTCGGTCCGGGCGGTGATCAGGAACTGCCCCATGGAGCTGGACGAGGATTTCCTGACGGCCCCAATGGGGGAAAGGCCCCCGTTGCCGGGCGACAAGGAAGAGGGCCAGGAGTGCAGGGCCTTCCACCCGTCGGCAGTGAAGGCCTTCAAAATCCAGACCCGGCTCAACGCCACCACCATCGCCCAGGAGGAGGCCAAGAAGGCAGACCAGGTGGCAGCGGTGGAGCGATCCGCGGCGGTCCTCCACGAGCTTCAAGGAGGGGCCATCGATGGAGGAGGCGATGGGGGCCAACTCCTCAAGAATTTGGACTTGGACCTCTTCCGCGAGAAACTGCTGGATAAGCTGGGCGCGGACTGGGGGAGGCCCACACCGGAGCTCCTCCAGGCCCAGACCACTGCGGAAGAGGCGAAGGCAAAGCACCAGGCCAGACAAGCGAAGGGCGCCCTCGAGACCAGAATGCTCGAGCCCATCAAGCCTCCATTCAGTGCGTGGCCTAGCGAGGTCCGAGTTGCCATTGAGACAGGGGTCTTTGAGCCGACCACGGCATGGAGGGATTTCAGCATGGACGACCTCACGTCCCTCACGGACTCTTACCTCGAAGCCAAGGCGGTCATCTCGCTGGGTAGGAACCCCTTTCCGGCGGCCCTCCTGGCAGATCTGCCGGATCTGGCGGGGATCCCCATTCCAAAGGCGGGGGGCTCTGGTGCGGCGCGCCCAGGTGCCGAGGGCCCTGACAGGCAGCCCACCATCCCCCCAGCTTCGGGCTCTGGTGCGACGAGCTCAGGTGCCGAGGGCCCTGACAAGCCGTCCGCCACCCCGGGGGGCCTGGACACCCAGGACCCGGAGGTGCAGCTCGCGGTCCTGCGCTGGATGATGAGCAAGCGTGTCGGAGAGGTCCGCATCTTTGCGGGCCGCTGGGTCCGACGACCGGGGCCCGTACACGTCCCGGACTGGGCCAACAACCTCACCAAGGTGAATCCGGAGGCGCTGGAAAAGGGTACGCATCCCAGGAACCACCAGGCGGGTGGACTCCCATGGGCCAGGTACTCCGTTGAGGAGCTGAACCAGCAGGCCAAGGCGGGGGACCGACCATACCCCGAGGACCTGCGATCCATCTTCTGGGCGGCCCCCCACGATCCGGAGGAGGACTTCCACTGGGCGCGCCAGATCTCGTCCTGGACACTCCCAGGCTTGCTGGGGATGTTTGGTCACAGCTTCACTCTGCGCCAGCTCTGGGGAGTCTGGGAGTCCCTGCCATTGCTTCAGGGCCCTAGACAGCGGGGCCCGAAGAACAAGGCCCAGAATCAGATCCGCCTGGAAGGCTGGGAGACCCTGAAGGAAGATGCTCGGTGCTTCCTGAAGGAGGAGGGCCTTCCGCTTCCGCAGACAGGACCGGAGTGGCGCCTGGTCTACCGGGCCATGGGCAAGGTCCTTGCGGCCCGGGCCTTCCTCACGGACACCCCGGCGGAGGTAATGCAGCTCCCGGTCCAGGACGTGGCGGACTCCAAGGAACAGATGATCCTCCGGGCGGTATGTGATGAGCGCATATCTGTCCCGGTGGAGAGTCTCCAGCAGTTCCCAGAGGTGTACCAGGCCCTCATGGACCGCATTGGAGGCCCGGGGGCCCTGGCGGAGGTGAAAGTCAACTGGCGCTGCAACACGAAGCAGTGGTGGGTCGGCGCAGTCCCCGACTCAGTGGCCCCCTCCATCTACCGCAAGCTCGGCTACACCAACGACATGATCAAGCTGATGGGCCTGGACCCCTCCGCCCCCGGGTGCCGGACAGGTGCCGATGGCCCTGACATCCGCCCCAGGGGAGGAGAGGGCGATGAGGGGATCGTCTACCCCCCCATCACATCGGACAACGTCCACGGCGTGGTGGGCAAGGATTACAAGAAGAAGAACTTCTCGGCAGAGACGAAGCACGTCTTCTGGGCGCACATGGAGTGCGGCCTGGTTCTGAGCTCAGTCACCCCATGGGAGCTCATCCCCAAGACGAAGGGGGAGACCCGGGGGGCTATATGTGCAAGTACTGCAAGGGGTACTGGCGCGCCGGGGGAGGGGGCACTCGCCTCCTCCAGATCCGGGCCGGCAAGGCCATCCTTCAGCTGGTGCTGGACGAGCCGCCCGATGGACTGTACAACCGCTGGGTCAAGGAACGGCTGGAGTTCTACCGCCGGGTAGAGCCGTCTGCCCCGCTGCGGGATGTCTCCGTGGTGGACCAGAAAGTCCCACGGTTTAGGTTCAGCCACGTCACCCAGACCGGCCATGTTTCAGATGCCATCTGGGAGCTGATTCTCCGGAACCCGGAGGCGGCGGCGCTCAAGCGCATTGACGACATTGCCAAGGGGGCCGTGTGATCATGCAGCACTGCGGCCATCCGGAACGGACTCGCAGGGCACCCCGGGGGAGGACAGCTGCCGATGGCGCTGATATCCCCCCCGGGCACAGCACAGGCCTTGACCTGTACCAGGCGAGAAAAATGGGCGCGCTTGGGCTGGTCCGGAGTGCGCCTGGGCTCCCCCCCTCGTTTGGTTTTTCCCTTTCCGTGGAGGCTCC